CTTCTGTTTCTTCTTTTAGCCATTACTCTGGCTTCATTTCTAGTTCTGAATAAATTGTAGTATTGGAAATTACTCTGGTTCCTGTTTTTAATTAAATAGGAAGAATTATTCTCTTGAATATTTCTTTCTATTTTCTTATTTAATGGGCAAGATTATTTCCGTTGTCGGTATTGGCTCCAATATGGAGTTACTATTCTTGTGTTGGAAAAAATGACGGATCTTAATATTTTTATATAATAGTAGATATTATTCTTCAATTTCACATGCTTGAGCTGAAGCTTTTTATTTAAATTTTATCTGCTTTATAGTTGGGTGTTATTTAATTTGTTAACATCTATCTATTTTGTACTACATATTAACTTCTTACTAATTATGTAATTGAAAGGGGCAAAATAAGTAATACTTAATTTTGGTATTGATATATGTTAACCTATATTTAGTGACATCTAGCTCATATATGTTAAAATTGATTCTACACTTATTTGTAATCGAAAGAGGCGAATATTGTAGTAATCAGTTATAACAAGTAGGGTAACCGAAAGGGACTTACTAAAAAAGAGCATACTTTAGTTCAAGTATATATTTCTGGTTCTTTAATATTACTATTTTAACGATTAATTTGTATAACCGAGAGGGGTGCATTTAATTGTTCAACTATAGTAATAATATATAAATGTAATCTTGAGAGGCATTTATACATTTATGAGAAATAAAAGTTGAAGAATAAATGTATTTACTATATAATAAAAAATATTAAGTGAAGTCAGGATCCCAACACCTTTTTATTATATCTGTGAAAAACAAAAATATTTTCTATTGCTCCATTCGTGCATTTTTAGTTAGTTAATTTAAAACTCAACTCTTTCTGATTTTCTCAAATAGTAACTAAAACAAGAAACATCTGTAGAATAGATAAACCAATCTCTGTGGGTTCGACATCTTTCTATACTGTTATTTGACAGAGTACGAGTTAAAATTTTATATACGCTAGACACTCGTAAATAACCTTCCACCGTCATAAACATTACGCAGTCATTTAATGTTCCTAAGTCTAAACTCATATCACAACGTGAAATTTACTTCACTTCCCAACTAGGCAACATGAAAAGATCCTTCATCACACCCACAACTCGGGGCTATACATCAGATCACGATGGAAATCAAGCACCAGATAGTTCTTGCTGCCCCAAAGCAGACCCTTCTCGTCTCATTCAATTCATATGAACACATCTCGCAGTCACATCACACTCATCACGTAGCTATCCAGTCATCACTTCCCTTAATAGGGACACAATCGAACATATTGATCCAAAAANCCAATATCTGATAGCCCTTGGGTAAAGTCCTGTACTGGTAGTACCAAAGATAGGAGGTATGAACCGTAATAAAAATAAAAATAATGAACTCATACATACAAGAACAGTCACAGGATGGAGAGTCTGTATTGATTACAGACGACTTAATGATGCCACAAGGAAAGATCATTTTCCTTTGCCTTTTATTGACCAAATGCTTGAAAGAATTGCAGGGCATAGTTTTTATTGTTTTCTTGACGGATATTCTGGGTATAATCAGATACCAATTGCTCCCGAAGATCAGGAGAAAACCACATTCACATGCCCCCAAGGTACGTATGCCTACAGAAGAATGTCATTTGGACTATGTAACGCTCCTGCTATATTTCAGCGTTGCATGTCGGCAATTTTCTCAGATATGACTGAAAGGTTTCTTGAAATTTTCATGGATGATTTCACACTTTTTGGTAAGACATTTGAAGATTGTATCTATCATTTAACTTTGGTGCTCAAAAGATGCGAAGAGACAAATCTAGTTCTTAACTGGGAAAAGTGTCACTTTATGGTAACAGAGGGAATTGTTTTAGGACATAAAATCACTGCTAAAGGAATAGAAGTTGATAAAGCTAAAATTGATCTTATAGCAGGATTACCCCCTCCCACCACTGTTAAATGTATTAGAAGTTTCTTAGGGCATGCAGGTTTTTACAGAAGGTTTATAAAAGACTTTTCAAAAATTTCAAAAACCTTACTAACTAACCTACTGATAGAAAGATGTAGTAAGTTAGTAATTTCAGATGTATTGCAAGAAATGNAAGACTTTTCAAAAATTTCAAAAACTCTAACTAACCTACTGATGAAAGATGTGAAGTTTGAATTTTCAGATGATTGCAGAAATGTATTTGAGTTTCTCAAGGAACAATTGACTAATGCTCCAATTGTTGTTTCTCCCGATTGGAGCCAGCCATTTGAAATAATGTGTGATGCAAGTGATACAGCAGTAGGAGCAATATTAGGACAAAAGAAAAACAAGATCTTTAGACCCATATACTATGCCAGCAGAACCCTCAATGAAGCTCAAATGAATTATGCAACAAACGAGAAGGAGTTATTGGCAGTAGTATTTGCATTTGACAAATTTCGTTCTTATTTGATAGGAACAAAGGTTACAGTGTTTACTGATCATGCAGCCTTAAAGTATCTATTAGCAAAGAAAGATGCTAGACCTAGATTGCTAAGATGGATACTCCTTTTGCAAGAATTTGATCTCGAAATAAAAGATAGAAAAGGTTCAGAAAATCAGGTAGCTGATCATTTGTCACGTCTAGGGAATCCTCCTACTGAAATACTAGATATCCAAGAGGAATTTCCTGATGAGCATATATTTTCAATCACAACCATTATAAATCGACCACCTTGGTTTGCTGATATTGCCAACTATTTGGCTGGAGGATGGATTCCAAAAGATTTTTCTTATGAACAAAAGAAAAAACTTAAAAAAGAAGCAAGACATTATTACTGGGAAGATCCTTACTTGTTTAAATTTTGTGCAGATGACATAATCAGGAGATGTGTACCAGAGACAAAAATGAACAACATCTTAAGTCACTGCCATGATGGGGTTGCAGGAGGACACTATGGAGGAAGAAGGACAGCAACTAAAGTACTTGAAGTTGGATTTTTCTGGCCTACTTTGTTCAAAGATGCAAAAAAATTTGTTGCCGCTTGTGACCAATGTCAAAGAACCGGTAAAAATCGTCTATTGCAGCTTGATGAGTTGGAAGAGTTCAGACTTACAGCATATGAAAATGCTAAATTGTACAAGGAAAAGACAAAAAAGTGGCATGACAAGCTCATCCTCCATAAAGATTTTAAAGTGGGAGATCACGTTCTGCTGTACAATAGCCGATTGAGATTATTCCCAGGAAAGTTTAAGTCACGCTGGACAGGACCATATATAGTAACAGGAGTGACCCCCTATGGTGCCATTGAAATACAACGTACAGATGGGGGAGATAAATTCAAAGTAAACGGTCATCGTTTGAAGCCTTATATCAGCAGATTCTTCGACAAACAGGCTTCAACAATCCTTTTTGCCTAATTTTTAAAATAAGTCGAGCTGGCAACGTTAAAACTCAAAACTTTTTTCTTCCTCTCTCCTTAATCTTTTAAGTAATTATTAGTATTAACATATAATATTTCCTTTTTAGTAAATATATATATAATTAAATTAGTTTTCTTCTTATAAAAAAAAGTTAAAAAGTAATAATAATTGCATGTTTATGTTATATTATATATATGTGTGTATATAGTATGTATTAATATATTTTGCCATGATAAATAAGTATTCCCATGATTTCAACAACAAAAGTTTTCTCCTATCATGAAAAAGAATATTTCTTTGCCATAATCTTATCTTTGTTATAAGAGAAACCTTGAGAAGCCAAGAAAAAGGAAATGAGGCCAGAATCGAAAAAAATCAGGGAAGCTCCTTCATCTCCATTTTTTAATTTATTTGTCATGAGGACATGACATTATTTAAGCTTGGGGATAGAGGAATATGTTTGTTATATATGTGTTTCTTTTAAGTTTTTTTTTTCTTTTTTCTGTTAAATATAAAATAAAATATATATTTCACAAATGAAAAATATATTTTTAGTAAAATTATAAAATAAAATAAAAAACTGAAAAAAAAAATCTTGAGTTGCCTTATTCTTAAGGCAACGTATTTCATGTACTTCCATGGATTTCTTGTTCAGTTCTTTGCCATGGTCGTAATATTTTGAACCAAACATTTTTTTAGGACTTTTAGTTGTATTAACTTATTCTGGTAAATAAGTTGGCTAAACTTGATTTGACTTGAAAAGTATGACACTTAAAAAAAGACGAATTTGATTAAGTACCATTCACGGGTTTTATGATCACTTTTCTAAGCTCATACTTACTTATTGGTGATTGAAATCATAGTTTTCGTTAGCCCAAGCGTATTGTGTCGTTAGCTTATATTGTATAGTTCTCCTGCTTATCTGGAAATCTAGAACTTGCGTTGAATGTGGATTGAGGCAAAATTTTAGGTAGATCCTTGAGTTAAGAAATGAACGTAGGCCTCCTTTGCTGAGCCATAACCTAAATTGACCTACCTTAATGATTTTTATCCCTAGTTAGCCCAATTGAGTCTAAATAAATTATCTCTTATTTTGTTGATCACCAAGCTTTAACCCTTAGATTGTTTGTTGTTATGACTTGTTCTTTGTTCACCCAATTCCCTTTTGGTCACTTTAAGAGTTGATCTAAATGTAAAAATCTAGGTGTGAGGTGTAATTGTGAAAATAATTGGTGAAAGAATAATTGTTTGAGGTTGTCAATCTTTTGAGATGTTGCCATCAGAACTGAAAAAGATAGTTGCTTCTGAAATACTTTAAAAAAAAAAAGAAGGGAGAGGATAGCAACAAAGATATATCGTCATCTCCGTCAAAAAAAAACGTGAAAGGGATGAAACAAAATAGAGGTTATTGTTTAAATCGGAGCAAAGACAATTGTGCTTAAGTGATAAAATAAAGTGTAGTGCCGATAGGGAATTTAAGTCACTATTATCCATATGTATCATACCTATCCCTAAACCTACATTACAACCATGCAAAAGTCCTACATGATCTCGACTCAAAGACTCCTACATTAGTGGAGAACCACATGATAGTCAAGCATATGGCAATTTCCAGTAGCTTGAGGTACTTCTTTGTTGAGAGTGAGTGAATTTTTCTATCTATGCCCTTCTTTGTTCTACATCTATATATTGTGTGATATATGGGAATCTCTCTTCATTTGGTGAGACACACTAGGGATTAGGAAATATTATGATTTCAGTTCTCAATAGGTGAATATGAGTACGGTTAAATGTTGTAGGAACTTGTGAATTGGTCTTAGTTACTTTTTCTTTGGCGAAAAGTCTCATGATTTTGGTTAAATTGTTTAGGTGATATGTTTACTAATTTTATTTTCTAGAGTACGAGCAAATGTTTAAGTGAGGGAGAATTTGATAAGTATATTTACTTGGTTTTTAATATATAATTTTCTCTGTAAAAATAAAGAAATTATCATATTCTTCCCTAACTTTTAGTAAATTATGTAGGAAAGATTGCAAAGCAAGTGATGCAGAATCAAGGAAGATTTTAAGAAATAGCTCACCAAAGGAGAAAAGTAAGCTGTGATGTAGTAAATAAACAAGGCCCAAAGAAGACAATATACGAAGGGACATTTCATAACAGACCCATAACTGATCCATAACCAAGATCCATAATCAACCCGTAACAAAACTCATAACCAAAGCATAACTAGTTATGGAGTGGTTATAAAATGGATGTCTCAGAAATTTCGAGAGGGGCATCGAGAGAAGGAGAGCTCAGCAGATAACTGAATCCATTTCATAGATTTTCCTTTTCATTTCAGTCAGTTGTTTAGCTCTTTCAATTTCTGCCCAGTCATTACAGTGGCTTTTGTTTCTAGTTCCTAGTAAATTTTAGCTTTGAAAATTACTCTATATCCTGCTTTTAATTAAATAGGGGGAATTATTCCGCAACATGAGGAATAAGGGTGGATTGATATGGAGTAATAAGGGTGAATATTCATATTGATATTGATATATGGTGGGATTGGGATGCGCACCACATCAGTTTATGTGTTTATGTATCTTTCTTCTACTGTGTAAGTTATTCGGTAGCTTTGCATATCACTTAAGGATTGGTTATAGCTGGATACTG